GTGACCATCTGCTATAGTCAGTTACAAACAGTCAGGGAAACATTGCTGTAGAACTGTTACCTGTACCACTTGTAAGAGGCCCATTATGAGAGCTGCTGACCGCCAAGTCAGTACCATGGCTCTCTACTGACTGGCTGCATACTTCCTTTTCTGACACCTGCAGGGAAATGGGATAGAAAATGTTACCTATGCACTATATGTGAGCTAAATTCTATTTAGTGATGCAATAAACTTTCAGACTACAAGCTAAAGCAGAGGATCTCAACCTTGGGGTCACAAAAACACACAGGGTTGTCATAGATTGAGGGGTCGAGATGAGATACATGCTAGACTTTTGATTATTTCTTATAGTTACAGCGTCAATTATAAAATTGACTAAATGTAAAATATCTTCATATCCATATAATGTAATTGGTCACTTGTGAGACGGTAACATGCATCGCTTAATTCTATGACACTGGAGGGGTGCAAGAATTTAAATAAAATAAAAAATGGGTCATGGACCAAAAAAGGTTGAGAACCCCTGCTATAAAGAGACTGAAGACAAAGACACTTGGATTGAGCTCTCTGTTTGCATCTTTAAACCATAGCAAAAACACCATGCAGTGGCACTATGGGACAACCTAGTGGCAGGTCATTGAAATGTCTGTTGCCAGGGTGATGAAGTCCTTCAGATACAGGAGGTTAAATCTGAGAGCCACTCAGATTGTCACAGCAAGACAAAGACCCCATTTAACCTGTCAGGCTGTGACAGACACCACCATTTAAATCAAACCCTCCTCAATATATTGACAGGCAAGATGTACATTATCGTGCAAAGGTTAGCCTTCAGATATCCATCAAAACTACAGAGGTTCACAGTGTTAACAGAGAGATAATGTCAGGCATTTGCTTAATCATTTCACAATCATTAATACTCACTTTATATAATACAGAGGGTCTCAACCTTGAGGCCTCAGCCCCATGTGCATGTTGTCACTAAAGCGGTCATCTTTCAAATTTCAAACTCAATTTTAATAGACAACTAGACTACACCAATATATAAATACTCTTGAGTTTAAAATGTAATGTAATAAATATTGGCTACAATGCAAAGCTACAAAGTGCAAAGCTGATTAAATTTTTTCAAACTATGAACTGCTCCGATTTAAATTCTAATAAATTCATTACTATTATTTTAATCGCATTTTTCAATTTAAAATTTAGGGACAATAAGATTTCTATGTTTTTGAAAGAAGTCTCATCAGTGTCACATGATCCTTCAGAAATCATTTGAACATGCTGATTTGCTGCTCAGGTGACATTTTTTGTTATTATCAATGTTGAAAACACTGCTGTGTGTCACTGCTTAATATTTTTGTGGAGACAGTTATACATTTTTTTTTTACTCTTGATTAATAGAAAGTTCAACTGAACAGCATTTATTTTAAATAGAATCTTTTGTAACAATGTAAACTTCAGTTCACTCTCTTGATTAAAACAAAGTTGCATTTCTTTTCAGTTTGAGGCAGTGCAAACTTTTGTTATTCGACATTCAAAGTATCTAAAAGCCTATATGCTTTGGTTTATTTCTTTTCCGATATGTGGCAAGATGCTGAGTTTTATAGTGGTACCCACCTCTTTTTCACCACTACATCCCTGTGCCCAAATGATTTGTTAAAGTTCTTGCACAGTCAATAACAATTAAACCTGACTAAGTAGTAAAATGTGTTGTTATTCTTAGTGTAATCTACAAGCCATTTAACTACTCCTGAGGAATTCAAAATGAGTCGTAAACCTCAAAACGTTGAGAGCCCTTGATATAACAGTTTCTGTCATACTCTATGCATAAACAACGACTGTTATTAACAGCATTTACATAAAGGAAACAGTTTAGACATTTTTACAGCTTTCATGCTGCTGTTACTGTAGTGCACAGCATGCAAATGCAGCTTCCATAGCTAACAATAAAATTGAGGTAAATGCAACCCGACGAACATAATAAACATAAAATCAACATCTGGCTGTGTGGTGGCCTCATGATCTGTGTGTATTGTACGTATGTGCTCCACAAGCCTTCACAGTCAGTCAACAAGCCACGAACACATGCTGGCGGGCCCCCCTCATTCAATGACAGTTACAATGAGCGATTCAAGCATAAAACAAACCCACAGACCCTGCCTATACAGCTGTTTATGTGTAAATGCATGCATATGTGTGTGTGTTTTAGCAGTCAATTATGCCCCCAGTAGGTCACACTAATCTCCTGACTGCTAAACATCTCCTGAACTCTTGAACTCTGTCCTTGGATGATAATTTCACAGAAAACACCCACTCAAATGCAACAGACCCAGAGAGAAAGGCAACTCATGCATGAAGTTTCTCATCTCCCTGTGGCCAAACAAAAATGTTAATCTGTCTGCTTCATGCTTTCCTCCCACAAGTCCCGGGTCTCACAATGACCATCCATTCTCTTCTCTGTTCTCCTATCTTTACCAGGCCCCCAAGCACAGCGGTCACACATTCTCGTGACTAAAACACTCTAAAGATGGTTCATGTAATCTTGGGACTCTCTGTGATTAAAAATGTTGAAATGAAAAACGAGGACTGGTTCACCGGGACACTGTAAGGCTCTGTTTGAGCCACAATGAGGCAGCACAGGCTTAAATCTCTTGGATGGAAAGCATCACTGAAGCACAATTCTTACCCCATTCATCAGGTTTTCATGGTCTCCTGGCGGCCCCCCTTTTTTCTGCCTGTTTTGTCAGAGGGAGAGAATTACTGAGAAATTTTGATTAAGTATATAGATTTGGCTGTGTGCTCTAAATCTATTGTCTGTTGTTTTGTCTTTGTATGGCAACATTCGATATCATATTCCAAGATGCAAACTAAGCCTTGTTCTAGACAGCAAAGCATTTAAAATCACATTTAATATAGTACTGAATCAAGGATTAAGCCATTGGGAGTTTTCTACCGGTTATACGTTAAAATAAAAAAAATATTTATTTAGACAATACTTATATAATTCCTTATTATTATATAAAAATAATTTAACAAAAAAGGAAAATTACAACTGATATGACATGTAGGCCTACTAAATGTTTGTGATAGACCAATATATTTTTTTGGTATTTGCCATTTTTATTTTACCATTTTGAGACAACTGAAAATTAAGAACTGAAATCCAAAAATTTTTAATACTAATACCTTTTTAATAGTAACAGTTAGTATTCAAAGTGCACCTTTGTTTTCAAATGATTTAGTACATTTTGAGTAAATATTGTGTAAAATAAGGGTTCATTTAATTTCAATAATTTTGCACATTTCATTTACAGGTCCAGGTGGTATTTTTTACATTTTCCATGCCAATTTGGGGAGAGAAAAAAATCTGTGGAATCCTGCAGAATGGATTTGTGGTAAAATGTGTTAAATAAAGATTAGAGCATAACACAAATATTAGTAGAGGAAAGTATAATCATTTAGAAAGCATAATTAAATTAGACAAAGTATGTAAAAACAGAGATGAGGGATGTGTTGAACTTTGTTATTGATGGTGTTCCAATTATTATATTATATGATTCTCATATATTAGTATCAGCTATTAGCAAGTCTGATTATGCAAAATTATGCAATCTTCAGCAAAAAAAACAAAAAAAAGACATGTTTGTACAATAAAAATATTAGACGTACCAAAGAATATGAATGTTTTAATGATACTCACCCCTGGCAGCTTGCACACAGCAGCAGCATGACAGAAAGCAGCAGGAAAGCTGTGAGTGCCGTGAGCGTGCCTACAAGTGCCAGCTCCCCTTTAGCCAGCGCCGCTGCCCCCGCGACCTCTGACCCCAACATAGCACTCAGCGCAGGAGCCATTATACATCACAATGATGAGTCGTCTTCATCGACCAAATGCACCTCACTGCAGAGGCTGGACACAAAAATGGATAGAGCCATTGAGAAAGAATGGGGGAGGAGAGAAGAATAACAGTTTGATATGGGATGGTTATCAAAAAAGATCTTTGCACTTGAGCAAGCCAAATCAGCTTAATGAGAAAAACTTGAAACCTCATTCGTTTTTGTTCCAGATCCCGAGTCAGATTATTAATATATTTAAGTGTGAAATTCTGTGAACTAATTGAACAGATAATCTCAGATCCAAATGACGTCATGGAACAAACTTGAAATCATCCCTAACTGTGGTGGAGCTCTTTGTCCACATGAGGTTTGCAAATTAATAGCCACAATGGGGCAGGCGAGTACAGATGCAGAATCCTGACATGCGGTACCGCAGTTAACGCAGCCTGAGGCTACTTCAGAACAAATGGCTCTTGGACATTTCACTCAGTAACCCAAACATGTAGGCTAGTTTCATCTGACAGCGAGCCAGATTAAACAGAGTCCTGGTCCAGGATGGTGTGTGATGGTCGGCCCCACCTCCACAAGCTGAATAGACAGATAACAATCAAATGGCTGGCATCCCAGTGGAGACTGAGGCCCGGGCAGCGCTTCTGATCTTTTGTGTGAGGGGAGATGGACAGCACAGCTGCCTCTCCGAAGGGTGAGTCTTTCCTCTCCACTCACTCAAACTCTCCGATAAGAAACAGCAGAACGAAAGCCAGCCAAATCTACGAAGAACATGAAGTTGGCATTCATTCTGAACAAATCCAAAGTCTTTATGTTGGAATTATTCAGCCTTTTGGCTTTTTTTTAATGCAAATACTATCATCCTACTCTTGAAATGCATGGTTAACACATAACAGAAGAAGAACTGTAGGTTCGTATGAGATGAAAAAAGCCAATTGTGCAACTCAAGAAACTATGCAAATGTGACTGAAGCATAGGCATTAACATATTAACTGATTCTCAAACTTCATAACTAATGCCTGCCAAACTACAAGCAAAATATTCATTTGAATACTGAGGGATACATGAATAATCATATCAACAAATATAAATAATACAGATATTTGTACATATTATATAATAACATAAACATAATATTATAAACATAATATTCACAAACTTTTTTGTCAGCAGAAACCTTTTGACTGTAAATATTTACCTCTGAGACTTTAAATTACTTAAATTTAAAAATGTGGGAAACCATTATCTATATATTCCTGATGATAATAATAATAATAATAATAATAATAATAGTGATGATGATAATAATAATAATAACTGTGATTTATTATTTTGTTGTTTTATTATTAATTTTCTTTTATTAATTTAAGAAACAATCATTGAAAGTGTAGCATTATCTGCATACTATTATAGAAATCCTATTGTGGTCAGATCTTCATTTACCAGCATCTCATGCTAAATTATTTACTCCCTTCCAAATCATAATCTAAAACCTTGATAGGCCTGTGAGTCAAATACGTGTTCTGAGCTTTCTGTATGTGTCGGAGTAAGATAAAAATATCATAATAAAACACTCCTTTCATATCTTTATATACTAGATTCAACTGGAAAATACCTACCACAAAAACCTCAAATATGTCAATACACTTGGGGGGAAGCACAAGCAGATTATTAAAAATCAAGTCTTGTACACTTCACAGTACCAAAAATGACAAACGAGTCCTACCTGAACACTTGTTTGGCTCTGGTGATTGTTGCCTGCAGGGAAAAAGAGAGAGTGGGCGATTAGATTCAGGAAGGGAGCTCTGCACATACTGTGGTACCAGACAGCACATTGTGCAGAACATCATCACATGTGCAATCCTGTAGTTAAACTTACAAATGACTGATCGTAAATCACAATTGGTTAGATAAGCATCATATTATGGGAAAAAAAAACCTATACAGAACCCACAGCACGCCGAAGCAACTCTTCTAAGCGATGATAAATTCTGCATTCATGGATCCATAATGAAGACTATGGATCATTGTTTCCCAGTAGCACAGCACTTATGAGTCTCTCAGCATGAGTACATGTCAAGCATCTGCTCAAATGCATGTGAGCACCAGCATCCATTTCTGTCTGAGGAACAAGCACCAAGAACTTTATCTAGATCCTCACAAATGTGCTCCAGAGTAACTATAGCAACCGTGATCTGAAGATAGTTTGTGCAATGGTTTGCTCTAATGATTGTTTTTCATGGCATTTCAGGGAGTAGACGATGCAGATGAAGAGAAGTAGAAACCACAAAAAGCCAAGGGTTGCCATGCATTTGCTAAGGTGATAAGTGGTGTTTAACAAGATTGCTAGACTATTTTGTGTGGTTGCTTACTAGCCCAAGTCACAAGTGCCCATCCTGAAGTCTCTACAACTTTCAATGGGATTTCATTGTCTATCAAAGGGATTTCATTGTCTATTTTCTATTTTCATTGTCTATCATCATTCAAATATCTAACCTTCTAAATATAATTAAAATACCCAAATCAAGCACTGCTTATAAAACTGTAGTTTAAGAAATATGGGACCCAAAAGGAAGCGATTCCTTCGCAAGGAATGTCAGGATTGTATGTTTCATGCCATATAAAATAAGGCACTGGAAAAGCCATTTGATGGGGGAATGTGTTTGGAAAGGCTATAGTCCCAGATGAGCAACTGTGGTCCTTGGCAACACTTTGGGCAAGCCATTGGTCACTTCTTTGCCAGAGTCATTATGGATGAAGATCCAGATCACGTGTAAGAACTGTGTCCATCTGGATCCTTTAGTATACAGCCCCAAATATCTACAGTTTTGTCTCTGTGCCAATAAATGTACAGCATCTGGCTGCCAAGGGACAGAAAAAAAGTGTGGAAAAAATACCATACCTACAGATACAGTATTTGCCTTAAAGTTACTTTAAAGTTACAGACAACCATACCGCAAAGACTTTCCTCCCCAGGGGTCACAGAGAAGGCGGGATTTTGTGGAAAAGCACAGCTGGGCTGCTGCTGAGAACGCATCAGGTAAAAGATTCTCATGCGAACGCCAGCGGCATCTCCTGAATAAATAATTGCACTGGAGCAGGAGTAATGCAATAAGGAATTTTGTGGATGCTCTGTTATTATACGTTTTTCTGCTGACAGAAGCTTTGATAATAACTCATCTGCAGGAGCGCGCACTAAAAAAAGAACTGTTGTAATACAGCAGTATTTTGTAACCCCTTATAGAAATCGTCGGCATACTGTGTAGCATAAAATGCTGAAATATTTGCAGCAGGAGGTGGTTAGAATAATAAAGCTTTCATAGGTGTCAATCAAGAGGCCATTAGCTTATAAAACACCAACAGTTTCACAGCTTCTCTTTGGCCACGTTAGAGGAGAATGACACATTCGACATATGCCGCGTCCTGGCTCTTTGCTGGACACGAGGGTGCATGTCATCTGTTGCTACACTGCACTCACTGTGACAGGAAGCTCATGCACTATATTTCAAATTCTCCATCTGAAATCATGTGATAGCTTTATGTAAGAAATAGACCACTGTTCACTGAAAATCTTGCCATTTGCCCAAGCTCATGAGGAGTTCATGAGAGAAGTAGCAATTTCATATTCATGAATGAACTGTTCTTTGAGTCACATCTTTTCAATTAATCATGTGATCTCTTTTACAAATGCAGTCTGAATGATTCCTTCTCAGTGAAACAATGATCTGGTGGCAGAAGACTTGAGTCATACTGTTCAAAAGTTTGGGGTCAGTATGATAAAAAAAAAAAAAAAGAAATTAATACTTTTATTCAGCAGGGACACATTAAATTATTCAAAAGTGACAGCAAGGACATTCATAATGTTACAAAATATTTCTATTTCAAATGCTATTCGAAGCAACACTGTTTTTAACATTAACAATAAAAATGTTTCTTGCACAATAAATCAGCATATTAGAATGATTTCTAAAGGATCATGTGATGTATGTTTTCTTAAACCAGTAAATCACAATTGGTTACAAAAAGCCAAAACTGACGACTGGAGTAATGGCTGCTGAAAATTCAGCTTTGCATTCACAGGAATAAATAGGAATCAAATATTTTTCATTGTAATATTTCACAATATAATTACAATTAAACATAATATTTCACAAAAATGCAGCCTTGGTGAACATAAGAGACTTCTTTCAAAAACATTTTGACCCCAAACCTTTGAACAGTTCTATACACTGTTTTTATGGTGCTTTTGTACCCTTTTTGAAGCTTAAAAGCTCTAGTCCCCATTCATTATAACTGAACAGGAAAAAAAATCAATACATGATTAAAAAAAACAAAACATGTAAATGATCACAGAACATTAGATTTTGGTTGAACTAGCCAGATTCCAACATTTAAATCCTGACATAACTATTTTTAAATGCAACACTCCAGCTTATGTGCAACAACATTCTGCAACATCTTCAGTTTAACAAACTGACCAATATGACAACAATCAGGACACAGTTTTCTGCCCAACCCCTCCTCATCACCAGACTGAGGCCAATTCATAGTGAGAGAAGAAGAGAAAGCTGGCCATCTTGAGTCTGGATGCTACAAGGCCATGTGTCTGAGTGAGAACAGGGGGATGAGCGAAGAGACCAGCCTGTTCTGAAGAGAAAAATTGATTCTCACTGTTTCCACATATACCTATGAGATGAAGATGCCCCCCAGGATCAAATAATACCCTTTACAGATAGCTAACGAACTGTGTAGGGTTTCATTATGACAGGTCTTGGGGCAGATGAACAGGAAGCAATTTCCCTGGGTCAGTGGGTTGTCATCTGTGCCTTACAACAACCGAGTAACCAATCAGCAAGCTCACAGCTGAGCGCAAGTCAGAGGGTTCTTCCAATTAAATCAGCCACGTTTGATCAACTGACTTTGTGTCTCTATGGAAACCACACTCATCTCATGGGTTAATCAGCTGGCATGGAAATCGATCCCCTGATGGTTTGCATATAAAGAGAACTTGCAGCGGCATGTACTAATGCCCCACTACTAACAATTAGTGCTAAGGTCAGACGTCTAGAATTGCTGCATCACCACAGAGAGACGTTAAAAACACACATCAGAGGAAGTGAATATTTACTGAACACTTCAACAATCACACATTGAGTCTCAGCTTCCTGTGCAGTGTGTTGGAGTGTGTATGCAACAGCTGTGTCTTTCCGTTCTCCCACAGACAAGAGTGATGTCCCATTAAAGCCTGTCTCCAGAGACAGTCACTTCCTACTGCACGTACCACAGGCCTGCCTTGACCTCCTTCAAATCTACACTCAATAACCACACACAGAGATGGGAATGGTATACTGTTTTTTGAGTTGTATGTAATAGTATATAGTATATAGTATGTACTATATACTGCCCGCTGAAAAAGACATACTAAAATGCTGGTTTGCTGGTCGTAGCTGGTTTAAGAACACTGTAAAAAATGTCCGTAGTTTTAACGGTGAAAAACTGTAAAGTAGCGACGGTAAAAAACTGTAAATTATAAAACATGAAATTACCGTATAAATAACAGTTAAATACTGTTATTGTAAATATACTGTTTGAAAATTTGATACTTTTGCATTATTGCTTTGTAAAAACTGCATTATTTTACCACAAAACCCTTAAAACAACAGTAAAGTACACAAAAACACTAAATAGTAAATCACTTAATTACTTTGAAAGTCAGTGGGCACCAGTAACTGGTTACGATCTTTTTATTTTTTATTTTTGGGGGGATATATCTTTTATGTTCAAAATAAGAAAGAAACTTATACAGGTTTGTAACAGTTTGATGGTGTGTAAACGATAACAGAAATTTTATTTTTGGACCAACTATATCTTTAATAAATTTTAGAGACACCAAATTGATTATCTTTCTCTGTTTTAGTCATGGATGAATCAGTGCAAAGTAATGTAACCAGTGCAATTGCTGAGTTACTCAAAGGTATTTCATACTCGGTGCTGCAATCAGTTATGGAGACACTGAACTCACTTGGAGTAACATCACCTGAAGATTTTCAATATGTTCAGGAAGCAGATCTCTTGCCAGTATTACGACCCATTCAGGCCAGAAAACTCGTATCTGCCTGGAGCCAGATCAGTAAGTACATTTCATCTTATGATTTCATAATGTATAAAAATTTAAAAGTGTTCTTAAATAACATGGTTATATAAGTGATCAAATGAATGTCATTTTTTACCTTTGTCTTTTTAGAACAAAGTACTGATAGCTTGTCAAGTTCCGGAGAGAGCAGCAGTGGCACTCGTTCATCTTCATGTTCAGTATCCCCATCATGTGGCAAGTCTTCCACAGTTGCTTCAGACTGGGCTGATAATTTTAAAATACCATGGCAGAAGTTTCCAGAAGCATTGACTCAATGTTTAGAAAGGAAGAAAAGACCAAGCCCAAGATTGCGACGAGATATGGTAAGAATTGTCGCGTCTGAAATGATGAAGGTATGTGACTGTCCCAGTAAACAAAGCTCTACAGCCATTGCCAAAAAGATGGTGGCCAAATACCCTGCATCCTTGCAAGATGTTATTGAAGGTGATATAGTTGGATCAGGGTATCATTCGCTGGTCGAGCAGATGCAGAATCTCATAGAAAATGTGAGGAGACGCAATGTACCGAAAAGCAGAAAACGCAGCAGAACAGAAGACTCTGACACAGAGGAGATTCCTGCTTATAACAGTTTAATCTTTGTTTTTGTTAGAAAAATACAGTTGTT